AAACTAATCTAAGTGTTCAAAAATAGAGAACTATTTAATAAAGTTTTACAGCCTCCAAACTTATGTTGAGGAAGCGTAAGATATGTCATAACATAAAAATTGTGATACAAATTATAGATGAAAAATCTAGGATACTAAAGAGTATATACAAAAATTCCATTAATTATATATACATATATACACATATCTTACTATTGCATATATTAAAAGATACGTAGCATTATACTATGCTGGTTATCTCTGGGGATCAGTTTATAGGTTTTTATTTGCTTCCTTGAGATTTTTCTGTAATAGCTGAATTTTTTTTCCCTTTCCAAATTTGGGGAAAAAAAGGTTCCAAAAATTAATTTTTAAAAAAGGTTATATATCAAGTTTGCATTGCAAACCAGAGCTTTCAGCAGAACTTAGTTGAGTCTTTGCCATAGACACCAACTCATTTCCTTCCTTTCAGAGGCATTCATACCACTATCTTGCATTTTTTCCCAAATGAAATGACAAAATGGAAAGACCATTTCTACACCAAACACTGAGCCATAGGAAAGTGGAATGTCAGTCAGGGCATCTGCAGATCAGGAAATCATGTCACAGAAAGCAGGACCTGTGTAAGATTCTAAGTTTATGCCACGTGCTGATCAGTCACTGTACTTCAACAATTATACACACTGTAATCCCCTCTCTCTGTTCTGCAGGCCTTTTAAAGAGGAAGGCATTTTTAGCAAATGTCCTTTAATTGGAGAAAGGAGGCAGCTCAATTTACTCCAAACTACTTCAGATTAGAGCTGAGTCAGAACGCCTCCCCAAGCGGAAGCTCCTCTCCAGAAGTAGCTTCCCTATTGGATTCAGGTTCAGGGTTGGAACCCACAGACCCAGAATGACAGGCTGTCATCAATGACAAGCCCATGGTTAGCATCCAGCAGCCCTCATTTTGTCCTTGTGTCCCTCATCTTCCTTCAAACTTCCATTTTTTTTCTTAGATTTCTCTGAAACTCTTTTAAAAATTCCTTTTGAAACAAGTGGGAGCCTGACTCATTGCCTATTTCCTCTGTTTTCCACCCAAGTGGTAAACAATGGGCTCCATTCAAATGTTGACCGTCTGTGAGCTGGGAACCTGCGTGCAGACAAAGCTCCTTGTCCCAGGGCAGACTGCCAGACCCATGCTCTCCTCCACTTACCTCCTGGGCTCTGTTTAATAAGGGCCACTGGCAGAATGCAACATATTGTCATGGTCCTGTGACCTTGTAGCTCTGTCTCCTTTTCGCTTCAGCCCAAAAGAACATTACTGTAAATCCTCAAGTTAATGCGTGTGAGGACAGCCTTTCAAAAGATACTCATAAGAAGACAAGCGGTAGTCCAGGCCCCAGTCATAAGGACTATCTGGTTTTATTTATAATAATTTTAGTGTTTCTGTCCTAACTCCTCCCAAGTTATTAATATTTTGTCTGTAGACAGTGGTTGCCAGGAAAGAGAGTCTTGCAATGTCAGGGGCATGACAAAGTTGAGAAATAGAGAAGGCTAGCCTAAGACTTTGTGAAGACAAAGGTGAAGGAACAAAGCAGCAGGCATCAGACTATGGAACAAGAACAGGACAAGGTTTCAAGTTCAAAGGGAGAAGATAAGACAAAAATAAATGAACTTAAATGACACAGTAGTACTCGGGAAAAAACAGAGAGAGGGAAGACTAGAGAGCACAGTCCTTCGTGGGCTTGAGGAAAGCACACCTCCAGTGTGTACAGCGATCACAGGAGACGCTTTTGCATATTGTGCCGAAACTCCCTTCTCAATAATGTATGTTTCCTGAGGAACTGCCAGCTTCCCCCTGCATCTTAAAATGGTAAGAAAGAAAGTTAAAGTAAGAGAAACAAATATTAAATAATTATATTTCAGCTATATTAGATATGTGTGCTTTTTAAAATAACTTCAACAACCATAAGAAATTGGGGTTCTTATTCCTATTTTTTTACTGAGAAAATTGTAGTTACGGAGCTGAAATAATTTGCTCACAGTCACAAAATTAGGTAGCACTAGAATTTAAAATTAAGTCGTATGACTAAAAAAAAACATGAGAGAATTCATTCCTTCTTTTATAAAACAAATCACTCCCTATTGACAATCAAACTCAAGTCCCCTAGATTCTCTGTGAATATCACTTCAATCTATCCCACCCTACAGTCCCTCCCTCATAGCTTACCAAGTTCTTCCCTAAAAGCCTCCTCACTGACCTCTCCTCTCTCTGTGCCCTTCTTTTCTTTTCTTCTTTCCCATTTCTTCCTCTTTCAACATTTATCTCAATTCCAACCTGTGTAAAACCCTTCAGCAACTTCCCACTGACCTAAGATTAAGTCACTAACCCCAAATATGGCACTGCTTACCCATGCATCTCCGTATTATATCCTTTCTCCCTCACTTTCTATGTTCCAACAACAACAGACTTCTTCAATATTCTCAAAACTACAAGTCATGCGCCAGAGAAGGGCTTCTATACAGGCTATTTATTCAATGTGCAATACTCAGCAATTCTCAAACATTTTGGGCTCAGGGCCCCTCTGTGCTCTTAAAAATTATTAAGAGCCCCAAAGACCTTTATTTTAAAAAGGTAGATTTTATTATTATATTATGTTGTAAATTAGAACCAGGAAATTTTTTAATATTTAATTCATTTTAAAACTTCACAGTAAACTCATCACACCTCAACCTAAGTAACATTTTATTTAAAAAGGCACATTTTCCAAAACCAAAAATACATTAGTGAGACTAATAGTGCTGTTTTCCATTTTTTCCAAATCTTACAATATCTGGCTTACTGAAGGATAAATGGATTCTCATGTCTGCTTCTGTGTTTAATCTGTTGTGATATCATGTTATACAGCCTCTGTGAAACCCCACTGTACACTTGTAATGCAAAAAGAATGAAAACGAAAATGACTTTTTAGTATTATAGCAAAACAGTTTTAACTCCTGAACCCCCTAAAAGTGTCAGAGACCGAGACCTCCAGAAAACCCAAGGTATACATCAGGAACTCTTACTCTGTATGCCTTGTCTTAAAGTTTGCATGGATGTCTTCCCTAACCTCAAAGAGGTCTGGGTCCTCTTGTTATATGTTTCTATAACATCCTGTACCTCTCTGTCAAAAAAAAAATCACCGAGGCTGGGCGCGGTGGCTCACGCCTATAATCCCAGCACTCTGGGAGGCCGAGGCAGGTGGATCACAAGGTCAAGAGATCGAGACCATCCTGGTCAACATGGTGAAACCCCGTCTCTACTAAAAATACCAAAATTAGCTGGGCATGGTGGTGCACACCTGTAGTCCCAGCTACTTGGGAGGTTGAGGCAGGAACCCAGGAGGCAGAAGTTGCAGTGAGCCGAGATTGCACCATTGCACTCCAGCCTGGGTTACAAGAGTAAAAAAAAAAAAAAATCACCATACCTTTAATCAATAATTTGCATAAGGACAGAAACCATGCCAACTTTGTTTATAGTGAGTCTCCAGTGCTCAGAACACAGCAAGAACTCAGACAATCTTTGAGGGAGCAAGAGGAGATAGAGAAAAGGAAGAGAGCAAGGAAGTAAAGCCCTCAGACTCAATGAGACAGCCTCCTGACAATCACTCCATTCCTTCAACAGGATGTATACAGAGACATAACTTTCTGCAGTACCTGCTGCAGCTCTGGGTTCCATTTCCCTTTGAAATAGAATGGGAGAAAGGGACAGGTAACGAACTGGAATTAGGAGACTGAGGTGAAACTGTAGGGAGTAATGGTTAGGAGTACATGTGCTGGATTCTCTCATTAAGGCAATCATTCAGTATTTACTAAGCAGCTACAGTTCGCCAGGGATTCTTCTTGGTACTTGGGATACACATCAGTGAATAAAACAGAGAAAAGGTTCTGGCTTCAAGGAGTTTATAGGCAGACCTGAACTCAGCCCCAGGTCCATCCACTTGAGTTGTTCTAAACTGTTTAATCTTCCTGTGCCTTATTTTCTCATCTGTAAATTGTGAACAAGCCTTGAAAGTTTCCCAGTGAGAACTAAATGAAAGAATCTCTTTAATGTACCCAATAGAGTCAGGCACCTAGTAGGTGCCTAATAAATGGAAATCTTTCTGATGGCAACTCTTATTCCAAGATTGATTTTTTCATGTATAGTAACTACAGATTAGAATTCAGTCGTTCACAGGATATCACTTGGGTAGCTGTCGGGGAGGAGGGCAGTATACTGAGGATCTTCACAGGACTTGGGGGGCTGACTACAGTGTCATTTTCCCATAGAGAAGCATCATCTCTGGCTTCCTCTCTTCTTGGCAAGCTACCTGGATATTTTTACATTGAACTATACAAGGTACTACCATAGTCTTAAGCCACGGAGTATTTCAAAACAGACTTTCCTGAGGACTGACTCTTTACAAAATAATTACGCCATGAGTGTCAGACCATTTTAAAGAAGATATTCACAGCCAACTGTTTGTAAGGGACCACCTCCTTACGTGGGTGTGTCGTGTATCACAGGGTTGCTGAGGTTTACCAACTTCACCCTCTGACTGGGTTTGACTTGGCCTTTCTGAGAAAGGGACTCTGCCTTTGAAGTAGGATTACTGGGACAGACAAAAAAGAGAGAGAAAGCAGTGATCTTTGATTTATCATTTCCCTTTCCATCTACTTACTCTTTGTGACTTCCCCAGTTCGTACCACACTAGAGAAGTGTTAGGCAGAGGAAGAGGAAGGAGAAAAAGGGGAAAATCTTATCAGTCGGTTTCGCTATATGTTACCAGTCTGGTAAACACATTTGAAGTTAGAAAGTTTTCAAACATGGAATAAAGTTTGGGAATTACTTGTGTGGATTTAATTTCCTCAGAATATACTCATTGTTCCTTCTCAGGAAATATTCATGAGTCAACTATCCAGAATCATAGTTATTATTCAGGCAGTGTGGGTTTAAAAGGAGATTTGATGCCATGGCAAACCTCACTGACTTAGACTGTTCTTCAAGTTAAAGAGCAGGATGATGTCTGAAGTGACTGAAACACATATGGCTTCAGTGTGTCAAGAAGACCTGAAAGATCCCACATGGAAGTGAAATTCATTATTGGCAAGCACGGTGACAGGAGACCCCAGAGGGCTGAGCCACAAAGAATTTGCAGAGCCGCAAGGCTAACTCTACGGCCTAGTTTGATCTTGAAGTTATTGTCTTGGATAATCCTCTCCAATCTGTTCCTGCACTTAAGAGCCACTCAGCACATGATGGAGCGCCCTCTCAGGTTCCTTTACATCGCCCTGTCAGGGATGACGTGATGTCAGGGAACACAGACATCATGTCAAATCATCCAACAGATGTCCCCTTCAAATAAGTTGGAGCAGAACCAACTATATGGAGAAGTCATAAACAAGGAAACAGACAACCCAGTGATTTTCAGCGCATTGGCACTGCTCTTTGCACGGAAACCTCAGTCTCCAGGGTGGAAGAACACAAGTTCAACAGAGTGTGTGTGCACTATGCGGGCTGACTCTTGCCCTGCTCAGGCTCATGCTACTGACAGGGGACACTTTGGAATCCAAATCCTGCATCATCTCAACGAAATGTTGTGCAACGTCACGGCTCTAAGAAGTAACCAATTTTAATCACTGGCATCAAGGAGTCAGGACAGAGAAACCCAGTATCCAGCCCCATTTCTGTCATTGACTCTCTCATTGTATTGGGAGGATTGGCCAGAATCGTCTGATTCCTGTTTCTGATTTCCCCCCTCACTGGCATCAGAGGATTGCACTAAAGGAAAACTTAATATCTAACTGAGCTCCAAGTGCTCAATAAGAGCATCTCATATTCATTCCAGGCCACCAAGAGGTTCAGGGTGACCAAGTCACAGACTATAAATTCAAACATTTGATGATTTTTGCAGGTGACTGGGTGAGCAAAGGAAAACCCGAGAGATACATAAAGGTGTAAACTAGGATTTCTCATTTGAATTATTTAACATGCCTCACTCTAATGGTTATAAATATACAGAAACTGCAGGTTTTTCAAGAGGATGAAATAAAGTTAATGAGTTTAGGTTTGGGGTTCTTTTTTTAACCTACTTTAGAATAGGAAACATGCTTACTAATATTTACAAGGCACTGCAAGGCACTAGCCAAAATGCCGAATATATTGGCAGGATTCTTTTGTTGTGGCTGTTTCTATTGTCCATATGGGCAGGTAATTAATACTCTTTAGAAAATTAAGTCATCAACTCAACAATGCCTACTTTTGAATTAATTTTTATTGCAGTAACACCCCATCAAGTATTGAAAATTTCCTATGTGCCAGGCACTACACTAGAATCTGGGAGTATGAAAATTAATAAGGTAAAGATTCTGGCTTCAAAGAGTCTTCATAATTATTTGTTTGAGAAGTATTACTACAGGAGTATATGTTGAAATTGCCAGAATACTTAGCTCAAAGCAAGGTTTCAAGCACGACTTTGCAGAGTAGATTTCGGGTGAACTTAGTTTTAAAGGATGTAAGGGTAAGTACACACATTTTTTTAATTACCCAGAAGGAAATACCTACTGAAACGCTTGAGCCTAAGTTGCTTCTAAGAGTCTAACTTCAGAACTTGCATTTTGTTAGATGGAGCTTATTGCTTAATTTCTAGCCAATACAACCCATCTCTCTCAGCTGAATACTAAGCTCGTCAACTTCTCCTTGATCCAGGTCTTGAATAGAATGTTGAGCAGGACAGGGCTGAAGGCAGAAATCATAGACATTTCCATCCAGAATTACATTAGTCTCTTAATAGCTGCCTACTGTTGTATTCAGAATTAACTCACTTTCTCGCCCAATTGTCACACTTCAGCTCACCTTCTCAAGGGAGACTTTAAGAATTGCTGAAGTTGAACTTCTCAGGTTCTTATACTTAGTGACCCTGTTCATGCAATGGCTATTCCTGATTTCTTGGGACCAGCAAAAGGCACAAACTAAATCCTCAAATTGGAATTCATAAGTGACAAACTTGTAGCATAACTTTATTATACTGGGAAAGATGGGGCAAAGGAGAGAAAAAATATCTATAATATATGTTCAAATATCTGTGCTAAGAACTTTATGTATATTTAGTCATTCAAACTCCAAATATACATTAAGTAGTAGTTATCATTATTCCACTCTCTAATTGTACAATTTTTACCTTTTTAGATTCTACATGTGAGAGCATATGGTATTTGTCTCTCTGTGCCTGACTTATTTCACTTAACATAATGTCCCTAGGTTCATCCATGTTTGCAAATGGCAGAATTGCCTGGTTTTAAGGCTAAATAGTATTTCATTTATTCCTTTAGCACATTTTTAAAATCTATTCATCAGCTGATGGACACTTAGGTTGATTGCAAATCTTGGCTATTGTGAATAATGCTGTAATGAACACAGGAGTACTAACATCCTTTGAAATATTAACTTTAATTCCTTTGGGTATTAAAATTGGCTGGGGGTAGTTAGACAGGGAAAGGGTACACACTGAGGTATGGATACAAAGTTTCAGTTAGACAGGAGGAGTCATTGTGGCATTCTATTGCACAGCACAATGTCTATAGTTAATAGTAATGTATCATATAGTTCAAAATAACTAAAAAAGAGAATTTTACTTGTTCTTACCATGAAGAAATAATTGTTGGGGAAATGAATATGGTAATTAGCCTGATTTGCTCACTCCACAATGTACACATGTATCAAAAAGTCATATTGCACCCCATAAATATACAAAATTATTTGTCAGTCACTATAAACTTTTTTTAAGTAGTTATCGGTCTCTATTTGACTGATAAAACTTAGACAGATTAAATCTGAATTAAAACTCAGCCACTATTGCACCCAATGTTCTTGCCATTATGCTCCTCCCTCTTCCCCGCTAAGATTGCACCCCTTCTCCTCCTTAACTCGCCTCAGGCTCCCATTACCCTTCACTAGTTTTCAAACCAAGGAAAAATTATTCAATGAATGGTAATACTTGACCCAGAACTTTTATAGAGTTTTGAGTTAAAGAAAATGTCACTTGGGTTAAAGTCACATTTTAAACCTGTGATTTTTATTAAAGTAAATGAAATCCCTAAGTGACTTCTTTTAAATAGGCATTCAAAAAATTTTTGACATTTTAATCACTTAATCATCACATATCTATATCCTATCAACTAAATCATGCCCCCAGAATTCACATTTGAAGCCCCAACCACTTCCCCACAATCTAACTGTATTTGGAGATAGGGCTTTTATTTAGAGATGGAATATTAAAGGTAATTAAGGTTAAATGAGGTCATTGTCATTAGGGTGGAACCGAATCCAATAGGACTGGTGAGTTTATTCTCTCTCTCTCTCTCTCTCTCTCTCTCTCTCTCTCTGCCTCTCTCTGTCAGGTGGGGACACAGTAAAAGAAAGTAATCCGGGAGCCAGGAAGAGAGCCCTCACTAGAATCTGTTCATGCTGGAATCCTGATGTTGAACTTCTAGCCTCCAGAACAGTGAGAAAAGAGATTTATGTCATTTAAGCTACCCAGTATCTTGTTAAGGCAACTTAAGCAGACTAGTACACTATATAATCTATGGACTCCTCCAGGAATGTCAGTCGGACCATTTTACAAGAATAGTATATGAGACTCAAAGGGGTCATTAGGACATACGATAAGTCAAGTTGGTTATTCCAGGATTTTACTTACTAAATTCTAGTACCCAATTTGAACCACTGTGGTGTACATTGTATTTCCCACAGGAATGCTGTAGCCTATCATTCCAACAGGATCAGGGAATCAAAAGTGAGCACATTCAGGGGGTGCAGTTGTACTACACTGGACAAATGGGCATGACTCTGCGGTTACGGGTGGAATACCATCTGTTGCTGACACACAAGTGCTTCTTGCGCTCCTTGGGAAGAGCCACAGATGTTTCCATAACAGGTGGGTTTGCTTCCCCTATGTAGCTTTCCCAGACACGTCACACACAGCACTCTCAGAGTTACCTTTTCTACTCAGGCAAAGTAAGTAAAGAAATAAGACATCTGCCCTGATAATTTAATTTGGAGGGAAAAAAATGTGACTTGGTTGCTTCGGAGGTGCGTGAATGTACTTTTGCCGAGGAGTAGGGGAAATATTAAAAAATACCAAATGTTAAAGACAGCATGTTTCTTAAACCTTGCATAATTGTTGAATTCTTTTTTTAAAAAAATTTGTTTTTAAGTTCCAGGATACAGGTGCAGGATGTGCAGCCTTGTTAAATAGGAAAATGTGCGCCATGGTGGTTTGCTGAACCTATCAGCCTAGGTATTAAGCCCTCCATGCATTACCTATCTATCCTAATGCTCTCCCTCTTTCACTCCTTTGTGTATGGTTCTTGAGTAATAGAATTGGGACAGGATAATGTGCATTATACTCCCTGAACAATCTATTAGTAGGCTGAGGCTTGAAAGGTCAGGCAATATGGTGCCAAGGAGCTTATTATTATGTGTTGTTACTGAATATATAATTATCAAAAACGAATTATTAAATACATAATGAACTCAAATGTTGACTATTAAATTCACAATTTTAGATTGTCTTTAATCTATTGATCCCCTTGCATTCTACCACAAATTTTTAGTATCTAACTTTTTTCATGAATCCAGTGAAAAGTACTGACAAAATTTAACTTTAAGGCATACCATGCTTTTCTGGTAAATAACTGACCTGTGGTTAACTAGAAAATTTGAAGATATTTGTCTTTCAATTGTTAGGTATAAGAATATAATCTTCCACAAATCCTGAATTTAAAATGTTCCACATGTCAGAACCCTTTGCTAGAGAGTAACACAGAAAGGTGAAAAGTCACATGTAACCCCAATAAAAAGAAAGCCTCCATGTAATTACCTCTAAACATAAAACTGTATACAAAGAGAACCAGTCTACCAAGTGTAATTAAAAGCAGATCAAAATTTAATTATTTTTCACAAATAAGGACAAATGGAGGAATATATACCCATAAAGCAGAAAAGGTGGCTTGAGGGTATATTTCCAATTATTGCACTGGTATTCTGCCTATGACTTTATTACTCTATCATGTGACCTGTCACAGATGTAGCAAATACAATTTAAAAATAATGTTTAAGATGAGAATTGTCTGTGTAACTGCATAATCATCTACCTAGCTGTCCAGAGAATTTTCTGTTCAAGAACATACACCTCCTTTCTTAAATAAATATAATTTATTTTAAGATCTCTCCTCTAGATAGTATGAGGTGACATTTCTTCTTTATGAACTTGCTAAAAGTAGCACCCCAGGCATTTGTAACTTAAATGAGATATGTATTTAACCAAAAGGATAAAATATTAAACCTGAAAAATTGTATCTGTCAGCCACACATAAGATCCTGGGGCAACTCACAGACTCCTGGGTCCCCTCAGGATCGATGGCTACTAACCTGGTGGCCCCTACTAGTTTCTGGAAGGTGGAAGAGAGATGTCCTTAGGGCCTGGGAGAAGTTATCACTATCTACACCTACCTTGCTTATTTGTTCATATGTATATCACCTGCCTCTTCCACCAGTAGACTGTAAACTTGAAAGTAAGGACATACATTGTCTTTTCACCCTTATAGCTCCCAGAACAATGACTGGAACGGAGTAGATACTATAATGGTGTTTTGAATAATCAAGTGAACGAAT